AAATGTTTTGATTTAAGGGACTAAAATGTAAATGCTGAAAATTAAAGAATTGAAATCAAAATGTTAAAAAATTAAAGTACAAAAATGTAAATGATAGAAATTACAATCGTATAAAATTAGAGGGTTAGTAGTTTATTTTTTTATTTTTACCTAGACCGTAATAACGTGAGTCGTACCCCGAGACAGGTCATTACGAGATCATAGAACTAATTCGAGTAATTTTAGAAAATAGTGATTAGAGATTAACAAATTAAAATTACTCAGACCAGAACAATGTGAGTCGTACCCCGAGGCGAGTCATCACAATCTCATAAAATTGATTAAATACAAGAATTAAAAGTTAGCGATTAGTGGTTAGAAATTAGAAGTTAGTGCCTAATTAAATTTTACATGGACCATATAACACGGGTCGTACCCTAGGACGAGTAACCACGAGGTTGTATTGAATGTTATAAGAAAAAATAAAAAAAATAGTAATTCAAATAGGAAAATTACAGCATTGGTCCCTTAAATTTGCAGTGATATAAACAATAGAAAACTAGTGACCAAATTAAAATAAAAATAAAAATAGCATGCCAGATTCGCAAAACAATTAAAAAATGCAAAGATAGTGACTAACTTTTAAATACACGGCTAACTATGGGGGACTAAAGGGTGATTTTCCTAAACATTTAGGGTTTTTACATCATCAATAGTGGTCGGTTAAACTCAAACCAAAATCTGAGTAAAATTGAGTCCCTCCTTTCTCATCTAAATCTCCTTAAACCAAACATCAAATGCTAAACCCACTCCTTAAACACATTAAAAGCTTCGACCTTCACAACTCATAACGATTAATCCCAAATGAACACGAGATGAAGCCGAGTTGAGCCGACCGGACCGCGGCGACTGTGTAAGGGAGTCATCTAACCACATTCAATAACCCAAACAGAGTTGAGTCTAGTTGAGCCAAGCCGACCGGACAGCGACAGCGCTAGTGTGAAGGAGTCATCTAACCACGTTCAACAACCCGCATTTGATCAATTTAAAAAAAAATATTTTGCCTATAAATACGTTTTAAAAATTCTCATTTCACGTTTCAAAGAAATTCTTTTATATTTTATATAAAAAGATAAAAATGCTTATGGACGAATCGAAGACACGAATTATTATGATTACTTTCATAATCAAATTGAGCCGGCGACACACGTGCCAGGAGTCATCTAACCACGTTTAACAACTCAAATTTGATCAATTTAATTTAATTTTTTTTTACATTTTAAACATTAATTTCAAAGAAATTCTTTCGTATTTTCTCTAAAAAGGTAAGATACACACGAACGTGTTAGAAACACATATGACCCCAATCACGACCAACCGCGTGTGTGATTAGGGATGGGCATGGGTCAGGTTGGGTCGGGTTTTTAGTATACTCAACCCGACCCGAGAACAAGGAGTCTTCCACCTGAGATCCGACCCGACCCAATCAAAACAAGTTTTCACTCGACCCAAACCGAACCGATATATAACATAAAAATTCGACTCGACCCGAAATAATAAAAAAATATTTTTATTTAATAAAAACAATAACTTAATTGAAAAAAATAATATATAGAGGGGTATTATTGTAATTAATCTTAAATATATAAGGTAAATATATATATATTCGGGTCGGGTCGGGTTTTTTTACCCTAAACCCGAACACGACCCCGACCCGAACATCACATTAAAAAACCCGACCAGATTCAATCCGAATCCGATTTTTTTTTAAAAATCAAACCCGATCAAATCAGATTAGAACCTGTCGGATTTGGGTCTCATGCCCATCCTTATCCAGGATGGAGTCATCTAACTATATTCAACAAAGAAAGGTGAGGAATATTCTTTAAATACTCTTCCCAAGGAATTTACACTCTTAATATGAGATATAATCAACATAGCAATCATTCCTTTAACCATTAAAATAATTTAGTTTGTGTTAAATGTGTTATTTTGATAAATAATTTGAGAACTGAGTTATTTTGATATATATGAGGATCGATCCACTTATATAGTCTAAAAACGTAAATTGATTAAAATATTAACAATAAAAATATCAACATTTTTAACTTTTAATCTCATCAATATAAAAGTAATCTCTCTGAATTATTAAAATATTAATAATAAAAATATAAATTTATATAAAACTCATTATTTAATATTTAGACTACAAAATATATCGACGGATTTTAATGATAAAAGAGAATGTTCTATTATAAATCTCGAGTTTAATCAATTACGTCGATAATATATGTATTAAAAGACTAATTTTTTCTAAACACATACCACCTAATAATCCCCTCGTCCAACTCCAACGAAATATGATTAACTTTTCAAATTTCATCGCGGTAACTAATTCAAAGTCTCACAGTTTCCGGCAAGGTAATTTTCAAGGCGTTACATTGATCCACACTCCAAACTTCACGCATGAACATAGCTTAATATAAAATTATGTCGAATCAATTGTGAAACATGTTTACAAATTAATTTTATTTTACTAATTATCAAATTTAAGTATAAATGATGCACTTAAAAGGATTTGTCCTTAAGGTTCACTCGTAAATCAATTACACATTATACTCAATTCCTTTGGATAAAAAAGTTTTTGTGTTGTTTATTTTTAAGTGATGTGTTGAAGAAATTTGGTAGATGTTTTCAATAGGAGATGTATAAGATCAATCAGAGAAACAATAGTTTTTTTTTAAAGCATTTAAAAGGGTTAGTCCACTTGTTAACTACTCCCTGAAACAATAAATATATGTATTTCAATGAATAATTAACAAAATTAATACAGATAATAATTATTGTTTAACAAAATTTAATTTAAAATTAAAACCTATTCTTAATTAATTGAAAGAAATATATATAATCCATTTAAAGCAATCCTTGAACTCGTTCGAAGCCTTCAATTTTTTTATTAGCTAAGATGGTTAAAGTAGTATTTGTTCTAAATACTCTCAATTATTTGATAATTAACATTCAATCACCTTACTACAGTCATTGATACTCGAATTTATAAACTTTAAAAACATCAAAAATTTATTTAATCATTAAGATAAATTGATATGTGCACTCTAAACCATCGATTTGAAAGCTAACATTAGGTTTGCATAGTATAAATCCTATTATAAATTGTATACTTCAATAAATTATTCTATATATGTTTAACGTGTTTTAATGTTTATGTTGAGTCCTTTTAATCATTTTATCTTTATGTTATTTTTTAATATTATATTGGTATTTCTATTATTTATTTTATGTTAAGAGTTTTATAAATTTATATATAATTTGTATACATTATTTATTTAGGCTTAAGGGTCACATTTACCCATGTAATAGATCTAATTTATCATTTTCGCTTTTATCATATTTTCGTATTAATTTAGCCCTCAAAGTTATTTAATTGCGTCATTCTATACTCTACCCATAACTTAGAACTCTAAATTATAAACCCTAAGTTATGGTTTAAGGTTTATGATTTATGACTTAGAGGTTATGGTTTATAATTTAGGGTTTTAAGTAACGGGTAGGATATAGAATGATGCAATTGAGAAACTTCTAGTGCTAAATTGATTCGAAAATACGATAAGAGCAAAATTGATAAATTGAGTCTACTACAAGGACAAAAGTTACCAATTTGCTTTTATTTTAGGTATATTTGGTATGTTAAATGCTTGTGGTGTTAATTGTTTTAGCATTTTATTAAATGTTACATAAGTTTTTAAAATACATTTTTTATAAAAAAAATATTTATTAATACTCTTATAATTTGATTAGATTATTTAAAAAATTATGTTTATCTAGTTAAGATTAAATTTAGTAGTTAGGATTATAATAAGTCGACATAAGTCATATTTTCATGACAAGGTATATGTAGGAATAATAATTTAATTTGAAATCCATATATTTTGACCCATTTGATTTGACTGAGTTGTTTTAAAAAAATTAGGTTTGAGTCAAGTTAGAGTCGGATTTTATATAGAGTGAGATTAGCTCGGATATGAGTGAAGAATGTAAAATCTCCGATCCAACTCGATCTGGGGTAATAATGTAATTTTTTATATAAATTTATGGATAATTTTTTAATATCTCCTCTCTCTCTATTAATTTTTAATTAGATCTCTATTTTATGTCGGGTCAGATGAAGCTTATACTCTAAAATTTTCGGTTCGATCATGTCGGGATAGAGAAAGTAAGCTTTTTGAATCAAGTTAGATAAAAGATATATATATTTTAAGTTAGATCAAATTCGAATGAAGAATATATATTTTTTAAGTTAGATTAAGTTGACGAAAACTTGACCTAATCCATTCCGTTTAGATATCTGGTCTTTAGGTGTTTGAAGCGAAATGGATTGGAACCAAGTATTTCAAAATCTAGCCCACAGAAATTGTTGACTTCCAAGCTTCAAGACATAATGCTTTGGAACAGTAGGCGCAAAAGTGGTAGATTCAATGCATATATAGCCCCACAAAAATTGCTTTCTTCTGCAATTTGTCACAGTACTGGTCCTAGTGTAGACCTAATAAAAACGATCCCTTGATATTTCAATGGTATTGTTTGCCACCATTTCTTCCGCTTACGTTGGTGCAATGATGATCTGAATAGGATAAGCTCTTTTTTTTTCTTTCAAATAATTAAGATGATTATAAGATATTTATTTATTTATATGAACATATAAACTGAGTTTATCTTGAACTTATAAATTATTTCAGTGATAAAGATGAATGATATTTTTTTTAGAAATTTCAAATTAGAATATTTGTGTATATAAAATATACATATGTTATCAACAAATGCATTATTAAAGAATAAGTTGAATCTTGGTCAAAAATTGCAACCCAAGTTGCATGCCAAGGCAAGCCTGCGAATTTATATGGCTAAATAAAATAAGTAAGTGAAATGAAAAAAATTCCTATCTTTCTGACTATGCTTCGTTTACCAAGTGACCCAACTTTTAGTATAAGTAGAGGTGAAAGAGATACAAGTACTTGGACCATCACGTAACCAGCTATAGAAAACAAGAGACCATGGCCAGAGGGAATACAACTGTGACTTGTCTCATGTGGCTTTCACTGGTTTTATCAATTGCTTTGTGCGCGAATGCAACGGCCGGTGCTCGCCGGGGAACATTCCAACAAGCCGTTTATCCCCAAGGTATACATACGGATTTTGCTTAATTATAATGCAGAAAAGAGTTTTAATAGTGATTGCAATCAGTGATGGACCGAGGGGTGTGTGTAGACCGTCATCCCCTGAAAATTTAAAATTATGATATATTTTGAATTTTTAATGTAGTTTTTATTTGTCTCGTTGAAATTTTATAAATTCAAACTCGCTTCCATAACATAAGATCCTACATCCATCCATAATTACAACATAACATTACTATCATTATTATGTGGTTTCGACTCTTTGAAGAAGAAGATGATGATATTCATGATATTTGCAGGCTGCCGTTGCTGCTTTTTCGTTGGGAAACAGTTCATGCTTCGATGTGGCAAAGTATGCTGCGGTGATGATTGTTGTTTTTAGAAACGAGACACCAATTTCTCCCTACTTCCAATTGCATGTACTCCAAAAAATACTGAAATTGGACTGCTGTGATAATAATTAATGTAATATGTTAGGTCTGAATTGTCATTCCCCAAGAATGCACATCCATAGTCTTATGTTTTCCTCAATAAGAATGTAAACCTTACTCTACATTCTTTACAATCAACAAATAAAGTTTTATCTTTCCATGCCCATTCTATATATAAGTGTTCTTGAAAATATTCGAGTAAAAAGGCATTAAAAATGAATGAAACAAACATTTTGTACAATCATTCAAAACCAATTCCAAAGAACAAATAATATATACATACATAAATAATATGAACAAATATACAATGTCCATACAAGGTATAAATGTAAGGAAACAAAATCTAACTATGCAAAAATTAAATTATAGAAGTAAAATAAACATATAATAAAACACAATAATTAAAGGAATAAAATTAAAGTACTGAAAAAAGAGACAAAAATAAACGATTATAATATTAAAGCAAGTAAAACGTAAAGACTAAAATTAAATAAAGAAAATAAAAAGGCATAAATTTAAAAGTGCATTAAAATTAAATAATAGAAATAAAATGCAATAAAAAATGTTAGTATCGAATTTTAGTATTTATCCCGGACCGTAAATAATGCGATTCATACCCTGGGGTGGGTCGTCGCAAGATCGTACATGGTTCGAACATAAAATAAAACAAACAAATAAATAAAAGGTTAACAATTAGTAATTATGTAATACCCCAAATAACATGTCAATGACTTTATTAAAAAGATTTATAATTGGAGGATTTATTTGAATAAATGATAAAAGATAAGAAATGATTTGGAATAGTGTTTTAGACCAATTAGTAACAATGGATGAATAAAGAGGGCATTTTGGACCTTTAAGGGGAAATGAATTTAAAATTTATTTCCTTATTAGGGATTTAAGAAGAAAAAGTGGAAAGTTAAAAACCCACAAAGTTATCTCGTCTCCTTCTTCTCTCCCGTGTAAGTGCTCTCCTCCATAACCAAAGATAAGGTTTCATTTAGCTAGTTTTTCCTTTTTTTTTTTGGTTTGTTCTTGAAACACTGAGTAATATAGAAGCTTAAGGGAAGTTCAAGGATGATTAAAACCTTTTTTTTTATTTGTTCTTGAAACACTGAGTAATATAGAAGCTTAAGGGAAGTTCAAGGATGATTAAAACTAAGTGAGTAGTGAAATATTTGAGATTGATGGAAATGAGTTTTTGAATGATATGTTGGAATATGAGTTTTTATTGATGTTTACTAGTATATTTGACTTGTCAAAGAAGTAAATAAGAGATTAGAAGCATTGGATGGGATTAAAAACATGTTAGAAAAAGTGGTATGATTCTTGGTTTGAGATGTTCTTTAGAGATTTTATATGTTATAAGAAGCTAAATGAAGGAAAGTTAGTTGGGATAAGTAAAGAAGAGTTTAATAGTATTGTTGGAGATAAAAATAAGGAAATTTGACTTAATTTGGGTAAAAATCGGGCTGAACAATAGAAAATTTGGGTAAGAGTATCGATACTGGAAGAACAATATCGATACTATAGGTTTAAATTTGGGAAGATCAGATGAACAATATCGATACTGATGCAATTAGTATCGATAATATATGGAAGGTATCAATACCATGGATTACAGAAGGCAGAAATGGTATCGATACTGCAATGGAGTATCAATACCATAGAATATGAGTATCAATACTAAGAGAAAGGCATCGATACCATGGATTCCATAATGTAGAAATGGTATCGATACTGAAAGGGAGTATCGGTACCATAGTATAGAAGTATCTATACCATGGTAGGGTTACCGATACTATTGAGCCTGAAATTATAAGATAGGCTAAAATTTGTTATAAAAATTTAAATAATAATACTTTTGAGTATTATTAAAGTATAAATGTTAGGGAATATACTAACATTTGATATGGTATGTGTCTTTAATGAATTCTTGTGTAGATCGTAATCAAGCTCCCGAGTCAAGCAAACCGAAAGGCAAAGATAAAGTCACCGATTAGTCGGATTTACATTTTTGGGTATAATAGTGAGGCAGGCCAGGTGAGTGCATTTATTTTGTACTTATATGTTATGATAGTCATAGATGCATTTTGCTTAATATATGTACTGCAATTACCGAATGGCACTATATGTGCAACCTAAGAAATTCATAATGAGTTTATGAATTTTCGTATTGCACTGTGTGTGCAGCCTAAGAAATTCATAATAAGTTTATGAATTTTCGTATTGGCACTGTGTGTGCAACCTAAGAAATTCATAATAAGTTTATGAATTTCCGTATTGCCACTATGTGTGTAACCTAAGAAATTCATAATAAGTTTATGAATTTCCGTAGTGGCACTAAGTGTGCAACCACATGTAATTCATAATGAGTTTGTGAATTACTGTATTGGCACTACGGGTGCAAACCGTAGAATGTATAATGCATTGAAATAATCAAGTGATATTCAAATTGTTATAATATACTCGTGTTTAGAATTTACCTTATGATTATTATGCCTTACTAAGTGATTACTTAGTGTGTGTCAATTTCACGCGTAGGTTTTAATACGAGTAGAGGAGTAAGGAGTTTGTTTGACATCGTGGATCAAGGGTCACCTCATCAGTAACTGTACGACAACCATGTCTACTTTTGATGTATTTAGTTGCCATGTAATAGACCTAGGAATAACACTCTGAAAAGTATTTGATTTACCATGATGTAAAAAGATGAAATGTTTGAACATTACTTTTTATTTACTTATGTAAGTTTAATGAAGGTTTTATTATTATTAAATTATAATATTTTATAAAAAGAAATAAAATTTTACGGGGTTTTAAAGGAGGTAATGCTTTAAAAGTGAATTGACATCTGTATATCGTGTACAAAAGGGTATACGGGAAATGAGTGTTACAAATTAGCGGTTAGAAATGTTAGCTATTAGAAAAAGTTAGTGGTTAGTGGTTAGCAGAGTCCGGACCATAATAATACGGGTCTTACCCAGGATCGGGTCACCACAAGGTCGAATAATAATTCAAATAATTTAATAAAAAAAACAGTTAGGAGTTAGCAAAGTTCGGGCCATAATAATGTAGATCATACCCTAGATCAGGTCACTACAAGGTTAAATAAAATAGTAGAAACAAAAAATAAATAAATAACAATTGTTAGAGTGTAATAAAATAAAAGCTAGTGGTTAATATGCAATAAAATAAAATAGCAAAATAGTTACCAAATTAAAATAAAGCAAAACAGGGGGCTAAAATTAGAATAGATAAAATAAAAGTAAATCAGTGACCATAATGTAAAAACAAGGCAGAAGTGAAGGAACCTATGGGTGATTATCCCCTAAAACAGGTGACCAAAACGTGAAGTGGAGCTAAAACCCGAGGCCTATACGTGATTTACCCATGAAATATGTGACAAAAGGTAAGAACAAACTAAAGATCCAGAGACCTTCGTATAATTTACCCAAAAACAAGATGAAAGCTTTTTCATCTATTCTGCCTCACAAATAGAATTCCTCCCAGGCCAAGCTAGGCCCGACCACCGCCTAATGGTGGCGTTTCTCATGTTGGGCATCGGGCTGGAGACCATCACACTCTGCAGCCACTACACAACAACCATTCTACAACCACTGACCACCGTTCGACAAGGCTCCCATTTTCTTCACACAAAAAGATGACGTACAATGCCCCTAGCGACCAAAAGACTCTCAACCGAACACCCTTAACGACCACAATCGACGACCTCACTCTCCAACCACCACCACGGTGGTTGGGTTCCAAAACTAATACTGAAACAAAACCAAATGTTTCCCCTAAACCTCACCTAAAGCCTCAATTTGAAGTTGTTCCCGACCACCCAGCTTCCTAGACCGACCACCTTATCGCCGAAAGGCTCCAAAGAGGAACTCGAAGAGGAACCCTACACCTAGCTATCCTAAAAAAGGAAGAATACAAGCAAAAAACACCACGATATGAAGAAGATAGACCATTTTTTAATCTTTCTTTATTGTTTATAAAAATGGGAGAGGGGGTTCCGTTTTTGATTGGTTTTTAATGCCCCACCAAATTACAAATGGTATAATATTAGGTTTGGTCCTTACATTTCATTCACTCTTTAATTTTCAGAAAATGGTACAATTAAAAGTTTGGTCCTTACATTTTGTTCCCTCTTTAATTTTAGGACAAAATTAGGGTCCCTCTTTGCTCATCTGTTGTGTAAACAATGACGAAGCAAAGACGAATAGTGGCCTAATTTTATCTAGCTACAATGTTCGCTCCACATCTGGAACTCCAATTCCTTTTATGAAAATAGAGGATTTAAAAATGATACTATTATTTTATGTTGAGGATGTCTGGTCAATCTGGAGATAATTTGGTGTTGAAGATGACACAACTCATCTATGTTGAAGAGTTCTTGCCGTTTTTAGGTAAATTATTTGCTAAAAATGTCACTGTTCCTTCTTGTTGAGGAAGTTAGGTCAATCTGGGGATGACGTTGCTCCTTTGCATTGAGGAGATATGGTCGGTGGACGACATTGTTCATTCGTGATGAGAACGTCTAGCCGTCTTTAGGGATAATTTGGAGACAACACGGTTCCTACACGTTGAGGAAGTCTGATTGTCTGAGGATGACACTGCTCCTTCGTGTTGAGGAGATATGGTCAATGGACGACATTGTTCCTTCGTGATAAAGATGTCTAGCCATCTTTAGGGATAATTTGGAGACAACACGGTTCTTTCGTGATGAAGAAGTCTGTTTATTTGAGGATGACACTTCTCTTTCACATTGAGGAGATCTGGTCGGTAGACGACGTTGTTCCTTTGTGATGATGATGTCTAGCCATCTTTAGTGATAATTTGGAGACAACACGGTTCCTTCATGACGAGGAAGTCTGATTGTCTGAGGATGACACTGCTTATTCGCGTTGAGGAGATCTAATTGGTAGACAAAATTTTTCATTCATGATGAGGTCGTCTAGCAGTCTTTAGGGATAATTTGGAGACAACACGGTTTCTACGTGATGAGGAAGTATAATTATCTGAGGATGACACTGCTCCTTTGCGTTGAGGTGATCTTGTCGGTGGACGATATTGTTACTTCGTTCAGGACATCTAGTCGTCCTTATGGATAATTTGGAGATAACACGGTTCCTACGTGATAAGGAAGTCTGATTGTCTGA